CCTCATAAATGAATATTTTTTGGCCTTCTGTTCAGCTATATATTAGCTACATAATGGAAATTGAAACCGATAATAAAAAGTTTTTAAAAAAATGAAACATTAGCGTTTCTGAGGTATAATTGGTCTTTAAAAATTTCCATTGTTTTATATTTTATTGCATCAAAATGTTCTCAAATCTCATATTCATGGCCCACTGTGTGACTTAATTTTCATTTTCATTGTTTTTCTACTTTCAAATAAAATAAGTAATATATTATGAAAACGTGATTTTCAAAGCCTAACATGGAATGCAATCTTTTTAATAAAATAAATAATATATTATGAAAATATAATTTTCAAAGCCTATCATGGAAAGAAATTATTTTTAAATATGTTTTCTTGTGTAATTGTGACGTATGATAATAATACATTTGTTATATTGCTGATACGCTCACTATATTAATTCACTTAACACATCTTTTCCTAGAGACCCATAAATATTGTTTACCAGCGTAACACAGCCTCTTGCATAGCAGTAGAATGTTTTGTTGTTTCTTTTGGGGTATTTTGCTTCAGATAATGATGGGTCAAGGTGAAAAGTTGTTACATGCATTCCGGTCGAACTACCTTCCTTATTAAAAACGAAGAATAAACTTTATTCAAATTCATTCATATTAAAACAACAACAACAACAAACAAAATAATTGTAATGCTTACTACATGTATAGTATTTATCATAATAAATGAAGAAATATGAAGCAAGGTCAGAAAGCACTATATTTTAGTAAAGCGAAAATGGTGGAGGTATATTACATTTAGTGGTGTAAGACCTGACATAAGAATGCTTGATTCTTTAACCCTTTCACTGCCATAGGGACGGCACATAATAATAATAATAATTATAATAAATATATAGATAATTATACCATCGACAATAATTATTATATACTAGCAGATTTGGAAACATATACAATTATTATAATACTAATAACAAATAATAATAATTTTATTAATTAATAATATAGTAATTTCTTAGAAAACCTTCTGGCAAATAGGTGATCAATAAATAAATAACCCTCTGGCAGCGAAAGGGTTAAAGTGATAATATATCGATATTTAAATTGATTGAAAATTAGATCATGATACTATAGGATTAATGGAATTAATAATGACTAACATTTAACATGTATTTATTTTATACTTAAAAACATCGAAAACGTTCAAAACAAGCAAAAATAAAGAAACAATAAATGAAATGGGAAATCTTGTTTCGATTTAACAGTGATAATGGCCGCTTAACGTAAGTAGATCTGACATAGTTTTACTCTCTGTGAAGTTCATTCTTTTATATCGCTAGCATTTTCAGGTACAGATACCTACAAATTGTCACTGATCTATATAAAATTCTCAATGATAGAAGAGTTAGTTAAAAAATGTATTTTTATGACTATTTTAAGATCAGTTTAAATTTATATATAGCCTTTTATCAGGAGTTAAAAACGTACAGTCGTGATTCTTTAGATCTTTCATTCTTTGCTTTTTTATTAACTGTTTGTAGGTCAAGGGAAGTTAACGTTGTTTTTAATTGCATAAATAACTGCACTGGTTATCATTGAAAAGAAAAGTAGATAATATAAACTCTAAGCTTCTTTTTATATAACTGAAACGTCCATTCTATATTTCGTTGCCAGTATGTTCATGTCATTGATTATTGAAATAAGCAATATGGTATTACTTCTATGACGTCATTCCTTTGATAGTCGAGATGGTTGTTAAAGATATATTTTAACAATACACTTGAATATTGTTATTTCTTTAGTAAATTCTACAGTTTCAAGCATCAAACCGTTCGATTGGGAAGAATGAATTGTGTCATGGGCTCTGCAAACCATTTATTTAGTACAGTAATTTACATAATGTGCGCCATGTTTACGATCTTGATTGTTACATAACAGAACGCTTAAACATTCGCTTCTTAATCATGTGGTATGTGTAAGATCGACAGATAAAAGTAAAAGAGTGAGTCCCAGATAGCATTCTATATGGGACCCATGTGGGGCCCATATGGGCACCTATATGGGTCCTATTTGGGCTGCCCATATGGGCCCCATATAGGAGGTGCAACCGGGTTCCAAATGGGTCCCATCTGGGCAGCCCTTATACTCAATATGGGATTCACATGGGCCCCATCTGGGCAGCCCATGTACACAATATGGGCCCCATATGGGCCCCATATGGGCAGCCTGTACTAAATATGGGTTTCAAATGGGCAGCCCAGATACTTCCATTATGGGTAGATTTTGAATTCCGGGGTAGATCTATTTTCAATTACTTCAATTATAAGTTTGCTGAACGTTTAGATAGCAACCGCTTGCTACAGAGCATGATTCTTGTACTTGCGTTAAATATTCAAGTGATGTTTTAACTCATTCTGTTTCCTGGAACAGACAGATTATGGCACAAAGCCTTTATGATCATGCAAGAAAACAATACACAATGTATATGCTTTAACAATGCAACTTTATTTAGTAATCTCACTTATGGTAAGTGTATATCATATATATACAGATTCTCAATACATTCTGTGGACGATGTCAACAAAGAAACCTTTACTTATGTAAATAAACTTAGAAAAGTGTACAATATAAAAATCCGAGTAAACTGTACATATTTGTAAATCCACAGAATTTCATTTTGACTACATAGTGTTTAATTCAAAAATACAGAAATATTAATTATTATTCAAAAAGTCCTATGTAGTAAATATTACTTTGGTACACTAAATAAGCAACATGTAATGGAAAACTGTTTATAATGTACGAACAAAATAATTAAAAATGCAGTTTTATAACATTAGATACCTTACAGATCACTATAGGGAAAAATGACAAATATAATACACAAAAGGTTGGCACTGTTGTAATTGTCAACAAAATATGCAGCTAATGAAAAGTAACAAAAAGTAATACAAAAAAGGTTGGCACGGTTGTAATACTGTTTATATAGACGTGTTAACAAAATATGCAGCTAAAGTAACAAATATGATACACAAAAGGTTGGCACGGTTGTAATTCTGTTAATAGACGTGTAAACAAAATATGCAGCTAATGAAAAGTAATAAATATAATACACAAAATCTTGGCACATTGAAATACTGTTTATAGACATGTAAACAAAATATGCAGCTGATGAAAAGTAAAAAATAGTTTGTACAAGTTTGTAAAAATCAATAATAATTAAAATGTGATATTACACAAAGATCAAATTTGTTGTGAAGAAATTCATTAAAAAAATTGTCAGTAAAAATAGTTGGTTTCAGTAATTTCTCCGATATTATCAAAGTTTCAACAATAAAGATTACAAGAATCATCATTGTAAAGTATTTCAACTTTATTTTAAAGGTTAATACCATATCAATACATGTGTTCCCTGTTAGTGTCAAGTTTTGACAAGATGTTATAATTGTATTGATCAGTATCAAAAACATTCCCCAAGCATTTAATGTCTTGATTTAAATAGTAAAAATGTTTTTTGTTTGTTTGTTTCATTTTACGCCTTTTACGTCATATAGGCGGGTAGTTTCCTAACCGTCGTTTCTGGAGACTTACACCAGTACTAGACTACCTTCCTCCGTGCAGTAACAATGTTTAATGAAAAAAAAAACAACAGCATATAGACAACAGAAAAACAGCATATAATGTCAACAACAAACATAACATAGCAGCAGAATATACTGACTAGAAGGCAACATTTGACTAGACAAGAATTTTGCATTTACAAGAAAGACATGCTATGCTGATGACCTCAAACATTAAAATTAGCAACAAAAAGTATAACAAGATAAACAAATGAGCCGCTTACTATAGTTCTGACCCTTATCACATTTTAAAAATACCTTGATACATATTGACTTTCAATCAGTGGAATAACTTATATGCAGATGAAGTAAAGGTTTGAAAATGTAAAATAAAAGTCATTTATTTTATGGTTTTGAGTGTATTACTGATGTATCCGTGAAAAATATATTTGATAATTTCACAGTGAAATGATTAAAATTTCAAACTTTTCTATGACGAGACTACTTTTTAAAGATTTTATCATCATTCAAATTTTTTGAATTCAATACATAATATCATGGCTATTCAATGTTGATTGTCAAACTTATTTTTTCAGCCCAAGACTGCCTGTATTTATGAGAAATTGGACCTAAATTCAACTAAAATTGATGTTAACATTTGGGAAAACAGATTTAATATTAACGTTAATATTGAGGAAATTTCATTAGAATAAAATAAAAAGACACTTTATTGTTTGTTGTGTAAGATGTAATTTTATATCATTGAAGGAACTTTAAAAAACAGTGTTCTCACGAGCGCATAGCCACTCATGAGAATACTGTTTTTAAAGCTCTCTTGATGATATAAAATTTCATCTTACACACAAACAAACAAATATCCTCTATAAATTTGCATTTTTAAATTAAAAACATGTCTAGTCACTTCCTTCATTTTCTTCAGGTAAGGTCTCTGACACTTTGTTTCTTGCTTTCCTTCCCCCATCGCGGTCCCGCGCCCTAGCCAGCCACTTTGAAACCTCTATTTCAACATCCTTCCTCGTTGCAGCCTTTGTCGGCAAGTTCCTTTGGACACATTCTACAAAACAAGCATTCTTATCCTTAAAGAATGAAATGAAGTGAAATGAAGGTATTGAAACCATTCAAAGGTCATAAGCCACCTTGTAGCATTTTGAGCAGTATAAATTGGAATATAAACTAATTCTGGTATGTTTTACCAAATATAGATGTTTGTTTCCTGGTTTTACATAGCTTTTAACAATATTTCTGTGATATCGCTGCAGTCAGTTGTAAGCTGAGATCATCTTATCGGTGTATCAGTAAAGAATGTTAAGGTAAGCAAGGTAAGCTTTACAGGAAGGTGATTTCTGTTTATATTATGCATCACAACACAATGCATGGGATCAAAACCACACAGCATGTAAAATATTCTCTCTTATTAATTCAGTATCTAGAGGCCCACAAACTTTTTCTTCCCCTTCAGCCACTTCATATTGTACATTCTTGCCAGTTCATTTGACATGGTTTCTTTCATCAAGCGGTCAACAGTTTCCCGTACATCTGCCATACCAAACATTGAGAGGAACCGCACCTTAAATAAAGCAGAACATAAACTTTTTTTAATGTTAATTTTAACACTACTAAGTGATGGGCTGCAAGTCACCAAATGACAAATAATTGTCAACTGGACCTCAAAAACATGATCTGCCAAGAAAACTGTTTGGATTGACAAATTAAAAGATCTTTCCTCATATATTTACAGCCTAGGACAACACCTTAGTGACTTGTGCCTTTATGTTTGTCCCCTCCACCGAGTGTTATGGGGCACATTATCATTGTTTTTTTTTATACAAGAGTTTATTCAATATCAACAGAATAATTTTTGATAATATAATAACAGCTCAATTCCTGGATTTTGTGGGTACTAGTCATTTTCCTGGTATTTTGAAAGCTGCCAGCATTTTGATTAATGAATTGACTGTCTTGTCCTAATTAATAATTAATGTTGAAAACGAGGCCAACTGCCCATGTCTTACAAACCCTATAACAAGTAGAGAAACTGATAGCGAACAGCATGGATCCTGACCAGACTGCGCAGATGCGCAGGCTGGTCTGGATCCATGCTGGTCGCAAACCCATTATGTTGGTTTTGTCATGACCCGGCTCAAATGAAAAAAATCCAGTATTTTAAATTTTTCCTTGGCTTTAACAGTAATTAACGCTAAAATCTCAAAAGGATTGTTGAGTGTGCAAGGTCACAAAATGTGAAAATGATAAGAAATCATGAATTAAACTTAACATATTTTTGAGCCTAGGCATGTCATTTGGTGAAAATAAACATTCTTGACTCTTCCAGGGACCGTAACTTTGGATAACAGTAGTGGGGTCAGGCAAGAATATGCGCACAAATTCACATCATGATAAAGACTAACACAAGTAATCATCAATTTCTTTTGAATATTTTTTGAACTAGGGGCGTCACAAGGTGAAACTTTCCATTTTTGGCTGTGTCACTCAATCCAGCTTGTTATAACATTTATTGACTTGTTTTGAGAATATAACATTTAATAAGTATGCACTGTAATAATAAATATATTTATAGCTCCGAAGTTTATACTTACTGGGCCCAATAATCTGCCCACGGAAGGGTGTATCAGAAGCACCTTGTATTGGAGAAGCACTTTGCACATCACTGCTGGCCTCTCGCAATGCCTGTGCAGATAAGCGAGGCGGAGATGAAAGTAGGCTTTGTGACTCTTTGGGCGTTGTTGCTTGGTCAATAACTTGTGGTGGCCTACTCTCTGTGTCTGTCTCATTCTCATCAGTGCCACTATCCGATTCATACAGCCTTTTTGATGGCCTATTTAGAATAAAATGAAAATACATTAATAGGTAATAATAAAAAACATATACATTAAGTGAGTTATTGCGCCAAGTGACAATATGATTATGACCCGTAATCGGCAGGCAAACATGTACTAGTCTATGTTTACGTACCGAATTGTTGTGCTGCAATTTTGTCTACCAAGGATTTTTAGCACGAATGCGTTTGTTTCCCCGATAGATATTTCATGAACGGGAAGGGCTAAAGACTTGGGGTCGGTCCCATTTGGAAGCTTAATACAAACGTGAAAGTGATAAAAGATTTTTTTAATTGTCTGGACAATTGTTTTCACAACGGCCCGGGAAGTGAATCCCTTGCTTGCAGGCTCGAATCTGGAGTTTCTGGCCTTCTCTTAACTTAAAGTATGTTTTTAAAGGGGGGTATAATTTACATTTTTTTTTCGGTTTTTGACTTTTTAAAGATGAACACAGGTTTAATTATCTATCGGGTCATATTTTTTCTTCCCAGGTCCGATACTCGTGCCTGTGCAACATAGGGCTTGGTTGGTACTTGGAAAAAATACTTGAATTTGTAATAAATAGTATTTGCATTTAATATTTTAAAATGCTTATGAATGAAATATTGGTACAAAATGGAAGGGACTTCTAAGGCTAGGACGGGTCACTGGATTTCAAATGATGGTGTCCCTTTAAAAAAGTATCTCTTAAAATTTAGTCTAGATAGAAACAATATTATTAAAATGTTAGTGTCGACTCCGTCACAGTTAAGTTATTCAACAATAACAACTATACACATCCATAGGTCAGCTAAAGTGCCTAATAGAGGGCGTAAATTCTAGAAAATGTCGCAAATTAAACTGACAAAAACTATCGCGAAATTACATGGCAAAGGCAAAAACAAAAAATAAATGACGTTTACACTTACCTACACACACAATAAATCTGTAAGGATATAATATGAAAGGTCGTTATACGAAAATCGTCGTTAAATGTTCCGAATTGAAATGAAATATTGTTTTCGTGTACAATTTTACAATTTAACGTTTCAATACACAATTTGATTTTAAGCGGCAGCGGAAATCACGTCTGCGCATGCTCGAAATAAATTTTTCATCAAATGCTGATTTTTATAAATTATTTCTGAATTAATAGTCTAAAAACACATTTTTATATTTAGATTATAAAAATTAAAACCAATATAAAAACTAAACAAATTAATTTCTCGCACCTGCTCAGGCATGCTAATATTTATTGGGTTGCCCGAATGGGACCCATATGGGTCCCTCATGGCTTGTATATATGTTAATGCTACGATTTTTATAAAAGATAATAGCAATTTATGCCAAGGTGGTCACACTATAGCTCAAAGTAAACAAGTTCTAAAGAAATAAATAAACGAAAAATCGTTTTTCCTTATAGTGCTGTAATATGGGACCCATATGGGTCCAATATGGGCGTACCCAAATGGACTTGCCCATATTGGTCCCATATAGGTCCAATATGGGCATACCCATATGGGCTTGCCTAGATATAGCCCATATGGGTCCCATATATGCATGTTTGCTTGGGTCGTACTTCCATTAATGTAACAAGTATTCAATTTTTGTAAATGTTCTTAATGGTATAAACTGATCAATAGTAACCAATAAGAATGGAATTAACAAAATATGCATGATAATAAATTAGAAAAATAAATTCTTGGAAAAAAATATATTTTAATTTATTTCCCAGGTAAATACCACAGAGAAAAGTAGACATACATATCATGTAATATGAAAATTTAGGCTTATAGTACCTCAGAAACGAATAAATATTTACTTCTTTTGAAATGGCAAACATGAATTTCATAACGTTTAAATAATGGTTTTAGAGCATGTCTGATTCTTGCAAGAAAGTAGAGTTAATGGAGAAATATCTAGTCATAAAAGTAGCAAAATGTGAACAAAATAGGACTTATATTTCCATACAAAATAATTAATTGATATAACTGTACTAATTGCCAACAAGCAACTGTTTAAGTAACTTGTCAATGAGAAACTTTTGGAAACTAAGCGTACAAAAATAAAAGTTTTTGAAAAATAAAAGTAAAGGAGGCATTTCTGAAGCATAATTGGTCTTTAATGAAACGTCAAAATGATACTTTTAGATGGGGCATACAGGTATGTTTAATTCACACATATCTGTGTGTTTTTTACTTATAACTTAACTATTTACTGTTGACAGTTATTATTGTTTTATCATTTTTATGACTCTACTTTGTATTTGATATTTGTTCCATATTTTTTTAATTTAAAATTTAAAGTTGTCGAATTTTGTCGGATGTAGAGAGTTGTGATATTAGTTTTGTTTTGCTGAACTATAGAACATTGTTATTTTGGGTGTAAATATAAATCTGTTGAATTTTCCATTCTTTCTATTTGTCGTTCCATCTCTTCTAAATATTTCTACTCCCCCATACACATCCTTTAACTTAACATCCTTTTTTGCTAATACTTGGCCGTTTATTCGCCCATTGTGTTCTGCAATTGCCCCTTTTGGTGCTCATTTGGGTGCTGTTGGAAGTAGGTTTTGTTGGGACTTCGTTTCGTGTGGGACATTTCTCTCCCTTGTGGACCTTTATTTCATATTTTGAAGCATGAAACTGATAAGAACTCGACAGATATGAACTTAAGGGAACTTCGGATTTAGTGGCAGGGTAAAGTAAACAATTTATAATTAGATTATTTTTTAAGAAAAATTATGAGACTGATATTTAACATTAATTTAAAAAATTCTGTATTAGATGTTGTACAAATTCGTCTAACGATATTGTTATTGTATTTGTAGGTTGTATTTTGATTAAAATATGTTCGTAATTGACGATATTTAATTAAACTGAATTATGTCAGACAATACGAGTAAAAACAATGAAAGGACATACTTTCTTCGGACTATATGCATGTATATGGACCTAACAAAAGACACTCTTCTTCAGTTGTTTAAACATTTAATTAAAAGTGAAAATATCACAAAATTCTTGACTGACATAGATACGAAAGCGAAGCTTCAAGATCTGTTTAAGAAAGATACCCTAAATAAAACTGAATACAATCTTATATGTTCCACATGGCCGGAGCCTGAAAAATTTGATATCGCACTGTTGATTAGGCTCATCCTAGGATTATTCACGGATGAAATATCAGAACCACAGCTAGGATGGCATAACAAATTACAACCTATGGATGAATCACTTGGTGCAGACCTGCTTCGTTTAAGAAATACCAGTAATAAACTGATTGGTCATCGGGAAAGTGCAAAACTCGACGAAGCTGAATACATTCACATTTTCGATAAAATGAAAGCAATATTAGTAAGGATTCTTGAGGCTTTTGATCGAGAAGAGGCGGATTATTTGAAGAAAAAAATTAGCGATTATAAGGACTTCCATTTTGAGACTGAGACTGGGAAAATAAAGAGATATCTCAGTGAGCTCGCAGAGGCAGACAACGAAACAAAGAAACTGCAAACTCAGGTGATTATCATTTTGATACTTTTTATTACTATGAACATTTTTTACCTAGCTGCTATGTTAAAATTTCATATTTTCTTTATAACATATTAACAATAATTTAAGTTGAGAGCGATTTTTTAATAAAAGACAAACAAATTGTAAATGAAGTTTTATATATTGATATGGTTTTGTGTTATTGAAACTTTGCTTTGCATTATTTTTTTAATTTCTATTTTTAAAAGCATTTCATGTGCAGTTAAAATATATACATGGATTAAAAGTTAATTTGTTCAGCTTTATCCGAAGGATAATTCTTTATAACTGGTTTAACATTGACTTCTATTGATTTTATTTTTATACATCTTGAAGGTTGAGGATTTGTTGAAGAAATCAAAAGGTAAGACGACTAAAATATAACTACGACACAAAATATATATGTATAAAAAACTGACTTCCATTTGTATGTGATAAAAATATGGAAACAAAGTGATCTTTCGGAAGCATTAATCACAACAAAATAACATGAAAATTGCAGATTCGGAAAACATTGATGAATTGAACTTTTGTTTAAAAAAGTGCTTAAAAGTCGTGATTTCAATGAATTCGGTTAGGATTATGTCTATGTATTTAATATGTAAATAATCATTTGTCCGATGATTATGGCTCCAAGCATGTTTGGAGACATATTGGTTTAGCCTTAGCCATCTGTCTTACTGTCTGTTCGTCCATATATCCGTCCGTCCATCCGCGGCTTTCACATGTTAAACTGCTGGCGGGATTTCAATGAAACTTCACAGGAGTAATCAGTACCATCCCTAGTTTGTATATCGTCGGTACATTCCGCTTTGCTGCACATGTGCCCAGAGCTATCAATAGAAAAATATTGTCCGGCTTTCACAGGTCAAACTGCTGTTGGGATTGCGATGAAACTTCATAAGAGTGATCAGTACAAATCCTAGTTGTGCATATCCCGGCAAATTCCGCTATCCTGAACAGAATGGCCACCAAAACTAAAGATAGGAAAATCACCTCTGACTTTCACAGGTCAAACTGCTGGTGGGATTTCAATGAAACTTCTAAGCATCCCTTGTTTGTATAGTTGACAGAAAAATAAATTCCGCAATAATTTAAGAAGCGAAAAAAACAAAAAATGAAAAAGAAAAAAAAAAAAAAAAAAAAATATGTCCGCTTTCCAAAGGCGAACTGTGGCGGGAATTCCAAGGATGCTCTCAGGGGTAATCAAATACCATTTCCAAATTGTATCGCCGGGCACTTCTCTTGGGTCAAAATCCGCCTAGATAAAACAAAAAAAAGGTCCGGCTTTTACAAGTCAAAAGCTGCTGATATTTTTTGAAAATTACAGGAGTTTCAGTACCCCCTTAAATTTTGCAATTTGCCGGCATTTATGCTTCGTGAACAGGGTGCCAACTTTAAAAAAAGGATTAGTTTACAGTGTGCCCCTAGCCAAATGATGTTCACTCTGTGTAACAGGATACACAAAAAAAAACATAAATAGGGCAAAACACATTTTCCATTCAACCATAACTCGGCCCAAAATCATTCAACCGGAAAGCATGTGTAATATGCGCACATAATTGAGCTATCGATCAATCCTGTAAAAATTCACTGAAATTACATTAGTAGTATAAGATTAGTTTGGACAAACTTTACAAATAAACATCTTAACAAATAAACATCTTTGAAGGGCAATAACTCTGACAAAAATTAGTGAACCGGGAAATAATGATGATATGCACAACAAGACTTGCTATCGATCATTTCTGAAAGGTCTGGATGAACTTGCATCAGTAGTTTCTCAGTAGTAGTCCAGACAAGCTTCTGTGTAACTGGCAACACAAAAACACCTTTTTTATTCAAATAATTATTCAAATATAAAACCTGTGCAATATGCGCGAGTACTTTAGCTATCGATCAAGCCTGTAAAGTTTCATTGAAATTGCATTAATGGTACAAGAGGACTAGTCCGGACAAACTTTATAAACACATTTTCTATTCAAGGGCCATAACTCTCCGCAACATTATTCAGCGGGAAAGCTCGTGTAAAGTTTCCATGTATTTGAGCTTCTGGTAAATTCTATAAAGTTTCAAAGAAATGGCATAAGTGGTATACGTAAGAGGAGTAGTCCGGACAAACTTTAAAATTAAACTTAAAAATCAGTAAAGGGCCATAACTCTGAAAAAACATTGAACCGGAAAATGCCGACGATATGCAAAACAAAACTTGGTACTAATCGTTTCTGTAAAATTTGGATAAAATTGCTCCAGTATTTTTGTGACAGACAGACGAACAGACAGACAGATAAAGAATTGATCCCTATATTCGCCACTACTCTGTAGAGGCGGCACAAAAAGAAAAATCTTGTCCGCTTTCACAGGTCAAACTGCTGGAAGGATTTGAATGCAACTTCACAGGAGTGATCAATACCATCCCTTGTTTTGCATATCACCCGCGTGCTTTACTTTGCTGCACGAATTGACCGCCAGAGCTATCAATAGAAAAATCATGTCTGGCTTTCACAGGTCAAACTGCTAGTGGATTCAACGAAACTTCACATGAGTGATCAGTGCCATCCCCAGTTGCCATCCCATATTGATCAAAATGACTACCAGATATAAAAGTGAAAAAATCTTGTCTGGCCTTCACATGTAAAACTGCTGGCGGTATTTTATTGAAACTTCTTAGGAGTGATCAGTATCAATGTTTGTTTTGAATATTGCTAGCAAGTTCCGGAATAATGCTAACAAATTCCGCTTCGCTGCACAAAATGGACACCAGAGCTATAAAGAGAACAGTCTTGTCCTGCTTTCACTGGTCAAACTGCTGGCGGGATTTTGACTTTACTGTGCAGGAGTGATCAGAACCATACCTATATATGTATAAACGCGGGCACATTCTGCTTTATTGCACAAAATGGCCGCCACAGTTTTAAGTTATAAGAATCTTATACTGGCTGCCGGTACAGATTGGAATATCTAGCTCGAGGGTATTTTTAAGGCAGTAACGAGGCTCCGCTAAACAGTTACCCGAGAGCTAGATATTCCTGTCTGTACCGACAGTCTGCGTTTGATTCTTTTTCTTGCATATTTCTTATATATCTTGTCCAGCTTTCACAGATGAAACTGCTGGTGGGATTTCAACCAAAATTCACAGGAGTGATCAGTACCATACATATTCGTTGGAGACAAATGTTTTTGTGACAAAAGGCCCTGTTTTTTTAAAGACGACGTTGAATTCTGTTTTAACGGGTTTTATGGGGTTTTGACTTTTACTTGCACTTTCCAGTACCCTCAATGATTAGGCTCAATCAAATTTAGTCTGCAACATTTAAGGTTTTATCATTTTGGGCGTTCTTAAAGGATTCTATTTTTCTCTATTGCTTGCATCACGAAATTTCTAAGACCTGCTTATCATATTGGATATGTAACTTTATAACACCCGTATACACAACAAATCTTAAAAAAAGTGTTGTTAAACCACTTCAAAACTATACAAGACATGTACAATTACATTTGTTATGATGATTGTTTCTTTTATAGAATTTCAGACGTTTTTTAAGACAACGCCGGAACGGTTTGTTTCGATACCTCAAGCTGCTTTTTGATGGAGGTGGAACCGCTCTCCGTGGGATTCTAGAGAGAGAATTGAGAAAAGCAGACAAGAGTCTGGATTCTCTCCTTTCCGAAAACAAAGAGATACTTTTACAAACTATTCAGGAAGAATATTATCAGTTGCTTTTCCCACAAGAATCTGGTCAAATAGATCATAATTGCTGGGATGTTGGCCTTCTAGTATCTGTCATTCTCCTGATATTTCCAAATTTAAGAATGGATGAGATAAATAAAATTGAAAAAATACAAACTGCCAGACAAAACTATGCAATGCACGCTATAAGCTGTTTAGATGCGGACGATTTCCTTGTCATTTGGACAGATTTGATTAGAAGTCTTGAACATCTTTCAAGTGGAATTGAAGAAGAAAAGAAACTTCACATTGAGACTCTTATTGACCGCTACAAAAAAAAAGTGTAATGAAGGTGATGCAGATGATTATTTAGACAAACTTAGACAAGGTGGAACTCCAATTAAGACATTGAAAGGCGTTTACGATGGTAATATCATATTTTTTAATGAACAAAAGTTAACTTCTGTGCTTTACTTTAGAAGAACATGCATTAAACGCTATGTACAAAGCTTATAATCAAATGGAGTTTTTGCTTTCCTTGTCGATCTTATTTATCATATTTTTTGCTATTTATTCTTTTGATATGAGAGGGATGTAACATGTCTTTAACCAACTTTTTTATAGCTGAATGAATGTACATTTAAAGATAGACGTTGCATAAATAGATGGGTAAAATTTATTTTGACCATCTTTTTGATTGTTTTGGAAATTTCCGTATGGTGTATATATTAAATATACTTTATATCTAAATATAGTTTTGAATATTATTTTCAGGATACATGTATCAACTAACGCAAAGATTGAGACAATTGAAAGAAAGAGGGCTACAATTCAAGTGCGAACATGGTTAGTTATTATCATTAGAATTTAACCATATTTTCGTTTTTATTGTGGATTTCGAAAGAAAAAATTAAACTGTATGTTGGCTATATGTACAGTTTTTTATATAAAAAATTATATTTATTTTGCTTTCTCTATAACTTGTAAAATTGATTATCTATATATCAAATAAAGAGAATATGTATGTGTTTCTTGTACTATCTGTTTACCGAACTTTCGTGGTTATTTGTTTCTGTTAAGATTTAGAGCTTAAGATAATGGTATTGTGTGAAGACGAAGAGAAGAAAAGAAACGCAGAGGACGTTCTTGAACAAAAAATAAGAGCCTCTCTTCACCAATCACATGACGGTGATAGTTTCTTGCAGATGGAAACAGACCGGTTCATGTCAAGTATTACATCTCATCCAAACATAAAACCTACTGGGATCACTAGATGCTGTATCATGGTTACATTTACTTGTTCAACACTAGATGGAGTAATGCATCTTCTGGACTACTTTAGCAGTCGGGACTTTCTGAACAGGATTTGTAATATATCAAACGAATTGAGCTATTTGTACGAAGATGCCTTTCTCGTACAAGGATACATAACACTTGAAAGTCTGTCAAGCATTCAGACTGCAGGTTATTTATATTTTGTATATTTCATTTATATAAGTACTATTTCATTTTTGACGTTAAGTTACATTGTGCTATTCAATCGAACTTTAAATGTAATTTGTTTTCATTTTTTTTAGAGATTAGTTTACATATATACCAATTGTTTAGTTTTTGCTGACAATAATCTGCCTAACTTCACAACATTTCAGAGCTCACAATTACTGTTTTTGTTTTGTTTTAAGACTGTCAAAAAGATGACTCTGAAAAAGGGATCTCACTTCCATTAAAATGCAGCTCTGTTGAGGGAATGGCACATATTTTGGAAACTTTGCAAAATGTGAAAACGGCCAATACACTGAACAGCATTGCTGATAAAATCTCAGAAAGGCTTGAAGAAACTGTATCCATTCATGTAACCACTAATCTATTTGAATTTAAAGATGTCGTCAAAGATGCAGGTATTTAGCAATTTTATCATAAATTTTTCTGTGTGATTAGACAATAAGATGTATCCTTTCATGTGATTTGCTCAAAAGTTCAAAAACGTAGTTTCAAGTTTAATCAAAGTTTAGTGCAAGACGTCCTACAGGATGAGGCAAAAAAGTTTCATCTTGTTTTGAAAAACAATTCAAGAAATTGGTTAAGACTATACATACATGAACAATAAATGTTTCATCATCCCCTTTTTAAATTGGAAGTTGTTGTCTTAAGGGTTGATCTTTAAAAACATCACATGTGCTTTTGTTGTGGTTTTTCTTTTTGGAAAATACTGGCGATTGGTCAATCTGTGATTTATATATTATTTATGAGTCTGATTATTTGTAAACAATTGCGAGAAGATTTTATTATATCAAGCATGTGTTCACGTTATCTATATGTTACTGTAATCACTTACATATAAAGGTGCACAAGGCTTGAGATCAAAGAAGTGTACTAGGGGTGATCAAGCTCTTAAAAGATCTTCGTCAAAGGATAGTCATGAAAGCCTTGATTCAGTTTCAAAATCATTTGAGCTATTGAAGGTAATCTTTTTTTTAGTAATATCATAATCAATGTAATTTTGTTTACATTGTCAACGAGTGCACTAACGTTAAAGGTACTCCACTGAGGTACGGCCGAATGTCACAAAAAAAAGTAAAATTTCACGAACCGATATTTTTTTGTTACCTGCGAGTTAGGGACATTCAAACAGAATCAGTGATACATTGATATGTGTTCTTTGGATTGGCAAGTCGTTTGAAATACATATTTTCTCCAATTTTGTGGGAAAAGCGTTTAAACACCTTTCAGTTTGCAAATCTGAATAAAAACAACGGTCACGTGATGATTCTCGGGATGACTAAAAAGCGAAACGGAGAATTTTTTGTGTATCGGCAGCAACGAAAGTGCGAAACCGGAATATACCAACAATCCATAAATTTAAAAGCAAATAATGGGTTTGTTTGTTATATTTCTTGTTGTTCACATATGTTCTTGTGAGAAAAATCTTTCAAAAGCAATTTCAATATATTTAAAGCATTACAATGTTGTAATCATGTTTTTTTCTCCATTACAATGATGAATTTAGCTAAACGTACGGAGTTCGAAACTGACATACACAAATTTTACAAATATTCTATGTTAATTTGAGAGCTTTCGTGTAATTATTAAATATTATGTATTAACTTTGTAATGGTTAAAATATCATGATATCTAGGCTAAGAAAATTTACTTTGTCAATCAGTGTAATGGGTCCTATTTCAAAGGTCACTTTGGTTTATCTGACACCCGTTCAGGAAAAAAAAACTTCGTAATACCTTTTATACAACGAACATGAATTTGAGTATTGTAAGCATAAAAAATCACATGCACACACAGAATGTTATTCCAGAATTTTCTCTTTAACTCTGATCAAAGCACTGAAAGCACTGGCTAAATAGAGAATGAATCCGGCCTCATTATAGGACATTTAGGCTTCAACTTTATTAGATAATATTTCTAATGTATGTCTAGTGCACATAATTAAAATTCTTTAAGAAAAAATCGATCTCCTTTGGTAGATAGATCTGAAATTTAATATTTATCATTTTACATACATACTTGCATATTTATCCGCATTGGATGTAAACTTTGTTGATGAAAAGATTACTATGTTTTGATCTAGACATTCAAAACTATATGTAATTGATACCTGTTTCATGCACATGGTAAACATTATCAAGAAGGTCGGAAAAGAGTTACAATCTGGCTCTATTAATATTATTATTATCATTATTGATTTAGCAGATATCCTGATAATTTTTTTTCTTATTGGAAGGCCTCCGTACTAGTGATGGGTCAATTGAGCTGTGCTTTAATGTTACCAATATATTGAAAGCTTCCCGGTGGAAAAGAAATTGAGAGCGTTATAAGAGTAAAAAAGGAAAACTGGAATAAAGACAATCAAGGCGACGGCAACGTTCACATGACGCAGCCCCCGACATAGTCAAGCTTCCACAGCAGGGTTATTGCCGTGACTAGTGAAATAAACTTAAAACTGATTATATAGTTGTTGTTTTTTTAAACCCTAACTTTCTTTCAAATTAAACGAAACAAACAAAATCATGATACAGCAAGACAAATGTGAAGGGCAGGTAAGTAAAAGTAACTTTAAGAATTCAGTAAGATATTATTAACCTCACCTCATATAACAACCATTGCTTAAACTATGTTTTATAATACTTCCAACTCCTAGACGGTAAAGGGCAATGCATATATAAACCATTGTTTTTACTCCTTATAGCCTGTTTATCATGGCATACTCATTGTTAATAGTTTTGTAAATGTTTTGATAAAAAAGTCGGGTTCATTTCCCGACTATTTTGAAAACACGAGTGACTGGTTTCAAAAACTACAATGGCTAAATATTGATCGGATGCATTTCATTGCATAAATAAGTTAGGGAGAGAACGCTGCTTTTCTTTCTTTATAGCACGAAAACCTTTACTTTTCTCTACTTTTGTCTCTTCTTTCTTCCTGTTTTTCATTTTTGTTGTTTATTCTTTTTATTTACCACTTGAAAGCCTGAAATTAATGTTTTCATTGATAATTTAGCTGTGGTCCTGTTTTGCTTGGTCGTGTGGGTGTTGTATTCATTGAATGTTACCATTCCTTTTTGTATTTCTGATCGAAGATTAGGAAATAGAAAGCTAACATTCAATCTCTGACACAGCGGTTTCACGACAAATCTAACAACAAACAGTTCTTAAAACACCTGAAAACTACCGATTTAAAAAGAAAGAAATATTTTCATTTTGTTATAAGTATCCAACAAATTACAACGCATTCAAAGTTTAAAAAGTAGCTTTGGCTTATAGAATTGTCAATGAATGCACATTCACAAATTACGCGGATGAATATCATTTTAATCAATGAAAATGCTATTTTAAGCGATGTCGAGAGCTTATTTCACAAATAAATCTGACTGTCGAGTAGTGGAATATATACATGTCGGACTGTTTTGGCGAGAATATTTTTGTTAAATTATTTACATCAATGTTAAAGAACAGGTTTATCTTGAACAAAAAACCTCGAAATTAACCCGAAATGCAGTGAAAAATCTAAATTTAGTATTACTTGATTTTATTCAGGCATTGTTCGTATATCTTCTCCGTGGTGCAAGGGTAACGCGCTCGTTTAGTGTGTCTGGGGTTCAAATCCAATTCAAGGCAATTATTTTTATAAAGTTTCTTTGTTAAGGAAATAGCCACGATATGCAAGGATAAAGTGTGGCTGTCATAAAAATGAACATAAATGATTTTTGATGCAACTCTAGTCATGCAAAATGTTTCAAACTCTGGTACCAAGCAAGAAGAATTATAGTACATAAAAATAAACTTATACAGGAAAATAATACAGTTGTACAGTGCGATTTATATTGCAAAGATCAGAAAATACCACAGAGCTTGCAGCCTTTTGATTTATCTTGTTTTTCGTACGTATTTCTGGAGATTAAATGGGTGGTTCTCGTAATACTTTAAGATTCATAAGATTGTGTATTAAAAGCCTTTGTAAATTGTTTCGGAAATACTGGATATCGTTTTGAAAATTTTAGAGCTACTTAAGTATTTTAAACACGTGAACGAAAAATTTCACAGTAACAGGAATTAAAATTAATTCCTAAGTATTTCGATTATAGTGATTATACAGTAATCAAACGTTAAAGGTCTCCTAAGAAATGTTCTTTGGAATTAAAAATTAAGTGTAAGCACTAGAACATAAACCACCAGATTGCTTGCAAAATCTTTATCGGCAGGATAAATTGGTTCACAAAACATGATTTTTCACAGTCAAGATCAAATGAACAGACTGTCATTTTCTTCCTGTTACCGAATGATACGAACAGACTGTCATTTTCTTCCTGTTACCGAAAAAAACACACCAGGAAGATTTCAAGTAGAGGACACGTCACTGACAGAATGTTCTTAATATTTGAATAGAAAAGAATTTGCTAAAGCCAATTTATGAAAGAGAAATCGGGGATGCTACTTATTAAATTATTTGCCTATAAAAGAGGATTTATTTCACTCGTTTAGATTATTTTCAAAAACAAAAGTCTCAAAAAGCAAAGGTTAGCTGATATTTAGATGTAAACCGCGACATATAAAATTAATTTACCTGTGAAACTGGAGTGAAAATGTGATAGTTTATCCGTTTTTTCTTCAGTGCCTTCAGCACTTTGATCTTATCTGTAGTACAAGTAAACTATATCGTTTTCACCAAAAAATCATTAAATTCTAAACAAGTTTCTAATAGAATCATAAACATTTATTGTATCATAGTTTGAAGACTTTTTTGTTGAAAACGTGTCAGAGTTAAATCGAATTCATATACATGCACAGTGCGTAACTGGAGTGCAGGTAATAAATACCAACACTCCAGAGCATGCCCATTGATGTATTCATTCTTTTTTTTTTGGGGGGGGGGGGTGCTTTTATGGAATAACGATAGAAATGCCACATTCAGAAGCTAGTTCATAGGTTTTTTTCTGGGGTTTCATATTGTTACAATAGGAAACGTGCATTTAATTTTGCCTATGGTATGAATATGATGTAATTGTGTATGGAACGTGTATGTACGATCCTATCAAGATAGCCTACGAAACGTCACTCATTACATACACAGATGCCCGTTTGTGCCAGAAACAATTTTGCAAAGGGGGCACCTGAGTTCTTTCTCCACCAGTAAAACTGAAGAGTCGCAAAAATGACCTACACAGTTTTGTGTGACGTAACCCCCACTCTATCTCAAATACAAACAATCAAATCAAATGAGACATGTCATTAACTGTATTTGATTTAAATACGTTATAGATAGCGTTAAATACTTTTATTAGTGTGATTACACTGTGCTCGTTTTAGTATAAATATCACCGATGCATTATGTTTGCCTTAGAATATTGAAATTGAAACTGAAATGTCAATGAAAATAATTGTACATGTATATAATATCTTTCCGTTTTGTCTAGAAAATGACCGCTTCGCTGGCGTTTGATTTTTCAAGACTACGAAATTGCTACCTTGATTATCTTTTATACAGTTTTTCTTCGTTATACTCAAGTTATATAAACATGATAGGTTAGAGAGTTGAGAAAAAATCAATAGACTTTTTTACCCCCGTTTACTCTGTTGTTCCAAAAATGTCCGTTGCGTATTTTAGTTATACCCGATGAATTGTTGGTAACTTCTGTACATGTCTGGGAAAACCAACTTTCATTTTTGCATCAAAAGCTAATGTGAATATGCATTTTCTAGCATAATTGTTGTTAGAGGGTTGGTTAAAGTGTAAGTTATTGTTATTTTAGTCATAATATTGTGATTTGTGGGGAAATTTGTATACATTTTTTTGGACACCAAATTACCCGTCAGACCTCAGTGTAGCCCCTTTAAGATTCAGGGCATGTTTTTTGTTGTTATTATTTCTTTTATAATACAAATGTATAACAATTCACTTGCAAAGTTTAAAGAACATGTATTTAAAAAAAACATCTTTTCGCAAAATATCGTTTGCGCTGAATTTTGTTAAATTTCTTCATGCATTAGCATAATTCTGTGAAACACTCGCTGTATTTTTTAAGCTTGATGATTCTAGAGTTTGATACAAATGTAATGTAACCGTTAGATAGATGATGCTTCATCTTTACATTTTGCTATTTCGAATGAAAAATAGTTTAAACAATAGTTTATCAAGATTAAAAATGGTGCGTAATCGTTCCGGATTTGTTTTGAATTATTTCCTGTTGTTGAATTTATTTGGATCTTTTGCAGCGGGCTGATTCTTTAAAAATGATCCAAAGTGATCAGAATAACTTGTGATAAATTTTACACTTATTTTCATCAAATGATGCATGACAAAACTATCACCAAGGAAAATTACAGTGTTCAGTTTCTCTTCAAACACCATTTTTTTCTATATTCTTGTTTGCTTTGAAAGTTTAAGGCGATATTCTTCTGAAAACGAAACGTTCAATGCGTTTTATCTTGATTTCAAACCAGAACGTGAATCATTTGTCGGGAAGTCCCTGCATGACCAGGAAAGTTGATCAAAATAAAGCTAAAACCATAAAATTGGTAAAGAAATAATTATCAATGTGATTGTCCGAGTGGAAACGGGCTACCATAGGATCAGTAAACGGGTTGATTCAACAAAAGATCAAATGTAGGAGACATTATTTCGAAGTTGTTTTTATCTTTTTTATTTATTTTATTTTTCTAAACTAAAAGCGTAGTCAATGTAACTATATATGTTGTGAAAAGCCTTTGTTCAACTTATACAAAAACATTCGGTGGATCAATAAGTGTTGCTGTGAGCTGCAAGCCTTAAATCAGTCCGTTGCCTTATTTTTCGTTCATATGAACTAAATATTTTCATGGTTGTCATAAAAACACGTACTACGAATTCGTTACTGTAATTTTTTTTACCAAACCAACCTTTTGGTCGCGGATTTTTTTTATGATCATTAAAATACCTGTTAAATAAAAGATAATAATGTCTTCTTGGAACTTTTATGCGAGTGTTTACTACTACTTCACTACATGTGAAATTCGTTTTTTTTTATTTCAACTGATAAAGGGCGTATACAAACCTTATAAAGTTGTAAATGAATTCCTTAAACATTGCAATGTTCCGTGCATGTAGAATTTTCGAAGACTAACAACTGTAAATGTGTTTATTTTTTAATATACTTTCACCTCGTCAGGCTCAAAATCTATCTGGAATCAAAACGGTGCAATAAATACAAATTAGTTCAGGAACGGGGAAATATTCCAAATCAGTCCGAAACGATTACATACCGTGATATGTCCGATTTAATGTAGAAAGTACAAGAAAGTTCGGGTCGACTATCGATTTGCCGATGCTGCGGTACGTTGTGCACGTTTTAATATATGGACTTTTACATATAAGCAGATGTATTGATAATATTTTTTCGCAGTCTGTGTATGCTTAAAAGCCCATGTGCCCTTTCAGCATTATCAAAAGGAACTGGACAGATGAATTCTAAACTCAAAATTTGATCACTGTTTAGCTATAAATGATTGGTTTCTTTAGCCTTATCGAAAGTTTAAGGAAAGCCTTCACTGAAATAAATCTGCAAATCATGCCGTCTTTGACTCACAGTCGCTTTCCTTATCATCCGTACCGCCTTTTATGCTGAATGATAAGAGCTGATGACAATATCGCTTACCATTATATATCAATGAATTTCATTTTGTAAAAAAAAAATCAATGAATAGGTATCTGTCCAAGAAGAAGAGGTATCTGTCCAAGAAGAAGAAGACGTGATGGAAAATGTTACAGACAAACCTGTAAATGAAATGGAATCAGGTATTACTTGATAATCAATGTTTGTATATCTTATACAGGTTTTGTAATTCTTAAGCGTCCCTTTTACCATATTATACCTGGACTCAGGAGGGAGAGCCGGCAGAATTACTTTAAGCTAAAGTATTATGAATAATCTAGGAAAAGGGATATCTCGTCCGATTAATGGAAACAATAATATAGGCGAAAAAAGCTTTGAAATTATTTGTACCCGTATTGGTGACTCCGAAAGACAGCAAAATAAAACAACGCTGGCAAATTTTGAAATGTCTTTTAACAATTTTTAAAGTTTTTATTTATATTGTTACCAGCTGTTAATTATAAAAATCTACTGATAATTTAAGATAAAAACCAATAATTGATGTTATATCAATCATTTATAATTGTAATGCATTCTCATTGTTGTTTAAATTCCTTAGACTGTCAAGAGAAATGTGGACGTCGTCAGAGGAAGAAAGAAAATCGATCACACCAAACAGATCCAACGCAAAAAATTGTCACCTCTGCAGGTACTATCAAACTTGATTTGAATATAAATATCTGTATAGAGAAGATGCACAATACTAATACATGTATTCTTAAATCAAATACCGGTTATTTGTTTGAAATTTTCAAGATAATGTATTGTAAATTGTAAACAAACCTTTGACTCTAGTAAATAAAATAATTTACAGGTTAAGGGTGGACATTAAAACAGGAATCATTCATTGTGTTTTATACACATATTCTATCTAGTAGTTATCCTATGTTAATTTTTAAAAATATGTTAATGTAATGCGGTAACACTGTAAATTTAATTACTAGGCTTAAATATTTACCAAGCGAGTAATTGACAACGTTCAACACATTTCTTTTATAGTCGCAATCTGGCAAATTATTCACAATTTATAGCATGATTGAAGAGACTCACGTAACAATATCTATAATATGAACATAATGTTGATTCAGCGATGTTATCCAATATCGACTATTTAACCCCGGTTTAGAGCTTTGGTGCGTCAACAAATAGCCAACCGATGTTATTTCGATTCTAACAAGTCGCTAATGTTTTTCTTCTTTTTCAAGCGGAGTTAATTTTCGCTGCTCGTTTTCGAATAGGATTGTTTTATTTCGCATCCTACTGCCACTAAGGTATACACAATATTAAACAACGGAAACATCTAATAAAAAGTTTAAATTAAATCAAATTAATTGAAAAAGATGTTTCAAGAATTATTTTATCAATTGTTCAATGATTAAAACGTACGTATCAGATTGTGTTCACTTAACTACAGAGCTCTATAAATCAATCTTTACCCCCTCCCTTGTCAGTTTGAAATGGCGTCAAATATTATCTTTTTTAATGAATTGCATAGGAGGACGTCTTTAAGATGCTTACGAATTGCCGTAGATTTTTTCTAAATTGTATTAACCACGGAGGAGGAACTGTTACACGTGAGATGGAATTCTTATGATAACTTGTCAGGAGTTCTTGTGATAACTGTCACAGAGTTCGCCAGAAAAAAAATGATAATTTTCATCTTTAGAAGTGGGTATTATATGATGCTTAATAATTAAATTTTATTCTAGCACCTAAAACCAACTCTTTAAAGATATACTATGCTCATCTTTAAGTAAAATATTCTTATAACAGAAATTTATTGAAATCCATGAAATCCTTCCTGAATGTTTTTAATTTGAGTAAAAAAAGTGTTCAAATTTTGTATTGAAAGCTGCATTACCTATTAAAGTTCAAGTGAAGTTGGTCTTTTTTTTAAAAACTGCCAGTATTTTAATGACACGATATATTCATATTGCGGCCACTAATAGTGTATAGAGTTCAAAACATAACATATCTACTTTGAATGAAGATGAATCATGTTTACTTTATATTTACAAAGAAGCTGTGAGTAATTATCAATATTTTCAAACATCAAATGTGAGCATAGTAATCTTTTAAATTAGATGAAAATAATCATTTTACGAGTGTTTTTGTAGTACCTGTATATACAAAAGTTTTCCGAGGAACTCCTGACAAGTTATCATAAGAACTTCGTCCTTCGTGAAACATTTCCTCCCCCGTGTTAACTGATATGGATAAAACGTGTGGTGTTAGTTTTGTGAGATGTAATTTTAGTATGTTATGAAAGAAAATCATAGTAAGAACGGAAAATGTCAGTACATTTGTGTACAAATGCGTTGTTTTTTTTGTTTCTGTTTTTTTCGTTGCCTTTAAAGGCTTTATTCATTTTATCGGAGGGAAAACATATATACAAAAAGAACAGCCGCATAAACATGAAGTCCCTATTTGTGAATAATGGCAAAACCTCGAGTCATGTTAGAATAAATACTAAACGCGATTTATACAATTTAACAACAATTCATGATTGGATATATTCTTATCTTTTAAGGGGACTTTACATTCCCTTGCAATCCTACAACGAGACTTGGTCTACAGGATAGCAAGAGATTAGGCGAAACAAGCCCTGATGATAGATTGATGGTATGACTAACATATTCTTTAAGACAAAATGCATTTCGTAAACTTTTTGTCAACTATTTTATTGGCTAAATTAAAATTGAAAAACGAAAAATGTGTAGTTCTGTTATATGTTGTTTTGTTTTCTGGGGTTTTGTGTGTGGGTCCTTTCTTTTAATGACATAAAAAAACGAATAGACCATTTTAAGCACAAAGAAAGAAGTAGGTAATAATGCGTTATGTCGATCGCCAGAATTAGGTTTTGATTATATCCATATTTAGATTCTTCAAAGAAATCAAGTTATATTGAGTAATTTATTGATTTTAATACGAAAGGGAAATAATCATGTTTAAAGTTCTTGTATTTTTTCAGCATTCATTACATGTAAGACCAACAAATGTAACCGCCGATAACACATACTCACCACTTGACAAGATGTTAAGATTATCTGATAGTCAATTCACGGATGATCATGTATGGCAATTAGATAGAGCGGAATCTACTTTACGAGAATTAGGAACATCTGGCAGAGAATTTACTTCTGAAGGTTTAAACGATTTACAAACGGATATTGAACGTCTTATTGACTCACTGCAATTAGACGAGTCATCTTCGACGAGAGTAAAAGAATGGGGTCAATATCCGCGTATTACATTTGATAGACATGGATGTAAAGAAAGACTCAAATGTCTTTACCAGGTAATTCAAAAATGAATTAAAATCTGGCCATCTTCGATTCTTTGCTGCAATCACGGCTACATGAACACATATGAGGATGCTCCTAAATTCTTAATCTTAATCAAACGCTCATTTCATTTTTAAACTTTGAGGTCTACTTATTTTAATTCTATAGGGCGTAGGCGGTAGTTAGCATTGATAAGTGCCGCTTTCAAAAAACAAGCTCAGTTAAACTAAGCTTGTAAAAGTTATAATTTTGTCGGGTTTATCCGAGCAGGATTTTCGTTACGACTATCTTTTACATTCATTAAGTTATTTGTAATTAGATAGTGGTAAAATTAATTATCATAGTCACTATATCTTTAAGATAATGACACGTGCAGTTAAGAAGTCTTGAATAAAATGAAAGTCACTTCACAGTTCAATTTGTACATTATTGTGGATTATTTGGCTGAATAAACAAAGAAACAAGATAGTTTACCTTTTTAACACTGAAGTGCAACATAGTATGTCTAACACATAAATAACATTTCTTGTAAATGAAAAGTTTGAATAACACTACAATACGATACCATGTTAAATAATTTCCTTACTTTACTTTTCTACAGGAATTCGTTATGTTCAAGCGTCACATTATGCCGAAACTTGTGTCGGAGGATGAGGATTATCAGAGAAGAAAACAAGGTACATTTTAAGAACTAATTGTTCAGCAGTTTAACTTATTCTACAGCAACAGTATATAGCTAAATTGCTATACACCTTCGTTCAAACAAGTAAATAACTTGTCTTTTCGACATTTCGAACTTTTCATCTCATTTCTTTGGAAGGTCTAGTGGGTTAAAACAAATATTTTTCCTAACTAGATATTTACCTGCTGGAACCGAAAATGATTAACCCTAACCATCGGTATCATATCAGATTATTTTTCACATTTCTGAAGTCTAACCAACCTCTATATTATTGGTAGAACGATTATTATCTTTTTTATATATATATTGAAATCTCATGTATTTTGAATGTTTCTTTTTAATTAATAGGTATAATCTAAGGTGGTTGAATAATTATCAAATTACACTTTTGAGCAATTACATATGTAGCAATAGAAAAGTTCACACAAATTGCACTTGTTTGCTTGAGTCATGAAAGAACAACTTAACATATGTTTACTGCAAGACATTGCCTTTAACGAATATATTCAAAATGTGGAAAAGAAGAATAATTACTCCAGTTGGAAGAATAGTTGTCATTAAAACTCTTGTACTGTCACTCTTTAATCACTTGTTTGTCTCTTTGCCTAATCCTCCAAAATCTTTTATTCAACAAAAAGATACTTTATTCTTTGATTTTATATGGCAAGGTAAAAAAATATATTGTATGTACTTTTTTCAGAACTGAAAGATTTTCTGATTACAACTCACAGGAAAACGTAGAAAGAGAAAGGGTTTAATAAAAAGATTTCGATGATCTTTGGACATGGCCGTTTAAAGTCTCCTAAAACAGGTATCGTTACTTCCTATAGAGGTATTTTCTACGACGACTTCCACAGAAAACAGCATAAACATATACATATCATTGGTGATGAAGGCAGCGCCTCAACAGTTTGCTTGGAACTTGTCTCCGCTTGGTGTGAGGCTCAAAGTGAGGGAAACGTACACATTTTCAAGGATTTTGAATTCGTTTTCATGATATCCCTTTCGGGTATTGGCTCAGACGATTCTATCAACGAAATGATAAGATTGCATCTCCCAGGTGATGAGTACATTGGAACTTTAGATAAAGTACTTCAACTCGAACCAGACAAATGCCTAGTCATTCTCGATGGATTAGATAAGTGGCGACATAATACTTATAACAAGTATTCTGCATTGGAAATTCCAAAAGGAAATCTGTTTTCAGACTATGTGATTCTCATTACAGCAAGTCGTCATTTGAAAAATCGCATTAAGAGGGAATTCGGTGATAAACAACTGCTGTACATATGTTAGTCTATTGACAGACGTGTATATATCGTTGCGTTCTTGTTGCAGTTTAAGATTATCCGCAAAATCTGAGAGACGTCTTCACTTTTACTTCGTCTCTCCAATCTCTGATTTATTTTCACCTTCTTCTTCAATCAGCATTCTCATTGTTATGTCATATATGCAAATTAATTCATGTTTAATCCTATAACATAGACCATGACCCTTATTTGTTTATATTATGATTTCGGTCATGATACCAGCTTCACATATGCCCACAAAGACATATACATGTACATATATTTGAAAAGGCGTGTTACTCGTATTATGAATTTGGCAATCTGTTTTGAATATTGTTTAACAAATATAATATTCACATTTTCTATAAAAGTATGTCTTTGTTAACCTTTAAAATGATACTATCAGTTCAGTATTGATATTTCGCTTTGCTGTCACAATAGATGACCACATAATGTGAGATAAGTTTATATTAATTTATGTAATATATTAGCTAAAATATGCCTTATGTATTTTTGGTCAGAGTTCCGCACTAAAAGCTTTTTTGTGTAATATATATTCGTCGCCATTTTTTTGGGATCTGATCAAATTTGAATCGATGGGATATTTTCTTGAACATTATACGAAAAGATATGTAAAGTTTAATAAATATGTTGGTTGCACTTTTTCTTTTGTGAACTCATATTTACTTACCCGAAATTAGGTTTATTCGAAACTCTGTACACTTTCATGAAAAGAATCTTGTGCAGCAGAAGGAAGACGATAACATAAACAATACAGAAAGAAATCGTACTTACTATGGATTTCAAATTAATTTTACCCTAATGTATATAGTTTTTATAAAATGAATGTTGTATTAAAGTTATTCCAAAAAAGTTTCTTTTGACATGACGGGACTAGAAATATGTTTTCGAAATGTCGAATGTTTCATTTGAATAAGGTCTAGAACGAACACTTATAATTGGTGTGCAAAATTTCAATTCATTCTCTTACTCCCTTTTTCCAGAATAATTATTCTAAATGTAAAAAAATGACCAAAAATTTGTAAAGCGTTGCAATGTTTTCACTTAAATCGAGCTTAGATCAGCATAAAAAGTACCATATTCAAATTATTCCTTAATATATATCTGAACAATATTTTGTATATCTTTCTGTTCAAGTGCCTTAGTTGATATATGTTAGAAGTTTATATATATTCATTAAGTTAATGTTTTGACTTTTGGACACAATTGGAGTTTTTTGAGTTTCTTCGAGTTTCAACAAAATAAATTAAGCAATAGTATATAAATAACGTTTGATCGCTATACAAAATACCTAAAGAAACGTAACAGTATTTACTGAGCGTACCAGAAATGCTTACTAAACAAAATCTACAGATTATGCCAGAAAGGTTCCGGGCAGTATCTTATTTCGGTATTAAGATGCACACAAGATTCCGAAATCGTGACCGTTATTCGTGATCTCGTGACTGTAAAATGTCACATAAAACTCAATAAATTTTAATGAAGAATATGCTATTAACTAGAAGAATTTAAAGAAAATTTGTAATTATATAAGAATAAAGCATGATTAACAGAACTCAAACTTGTCAAATACGTTTATAAAGAATAAATTAAGATAATAATAATAATAATAATAATGAAAATATAGTTAACCTTTATGATTAAGATCTGTAGTCGAATCGGAAGACATGATTTTTTATTTCTTTCGATAAGTTCAATTCACTACAAAAAAGATATGATGTTTACAATATCTAAATCTTTCTAAAATCAACCATAAAATACTTGTTCAAAAATTAGCCATAAAATACCGGTCCGAAAATCAGCCATAGAACTGGTGTCAACCGTTCGAAATTCAGCTATAGAACTGGTGTCAGCCGTTCGAAAGTCAGCCATAGAACTGGTGTAAGCCGTTCGAAAATCAGCCATAGAACTGTTGTCAGCCGTTCGAAAATCAGCCGTAGAACAGGTGTCAGCCGTTCGAAAATAAGCCATAGAACAGGTGTCAGCCGTTCGAAAGTCAGCCATAGAACAGGTGTCAACCGTTCGAAAGTCAGCCATAGAACTGGTGTCAGCCGTTCGAAAGTCAGCCATAAAACAGGTGTCAGCCGTTCGAAAATAAGCCATAGAACAGGTGTCAGTCGTTCGAAAATAAGCCATAGAATTTATGTCAGCCGTTCGAAAATCAGCCATAGAACTTGTGTCAGCGTCTTATATCAGTACAGCAATAAAGATTGATAATCAATAATAACTTTTGGGGTTTAACCCTTAATCTGCTATGTTTCTAAAATGAACTTGTTCAGCTTTGAATTTGGAACATCCCGATCAAAGTTTTAGAAAATTCAAAATCAAAATACAAAGAAAAAAATAGCAGCCAACGGATGTGCAAGCGAAATCCGACGGCAAGTGGTAAATGCTTATTATGTTTGGTTCCTACTAATTAAAGGGCTAAAGGTAAAGTGTCAGAAATGTTTTGAAATGTTTAGTGAAAAGTGCTAATAATTATTTAAGATTCATTGTGACAAAAATATGTTGTATACGATTATTTCACAAATTAACATCCAAGATAACAAGGCAAAAAGTTGAAGCTATAATTTCAAATTTATCTTAAATGTTGTAAACTGACATGACAGAGAAGTTTATAATAGAGAAAATTACGCGTCAACTTTTGGTCGATATTAGACTTGTTATCTCAAATTGTGTAATTGATTACTGCCCAAACCCTTGCTTAAATATGATTTAATTGATTTCATCCAGATTCATTTATTGAAAGTGTTTAAGCACTGGTCCTAATATCTCATCATATTTCAAGTACCGCAAACAAGTGGTTATATATGTGTGAAAAACGCACAAGTAGAAGACAGCAAAACTTTCTCTTGTATTTGTATGACAACTTTACTATTTCATTAAATGAAAATAAAGCAATGAGATAGCTTGATTCTCCTCAGATAACAGAAATAATCATTAATGTTACTTCAATACATGCTGAGTAAGTTTCGGTCCATACTGACACATATGTGAATTATAACTTACTCTTTTTCCACTTTCTCTCTTGTTTTATTTACCTCCAGCATGTATTAAAGGAAAACGGACCAGAAACTTTGCGTAAAAAGGGGTCCGTACTCGACAGCGAAAGCTGCATTTTGTGACCGAAAGGGCGGATGGACCCTCATTAAGCATTAACAACATACATACATACAACTTTGCTTAGACATTTTTCTGTTTTCGATAAATTATGTTCACTGTAATTCATTATTAGTGTCATTTACGTGATTGATATTCTGAAAGTACTTAATCGTTAGGCAAATGTGTATAAAAATAATCAACGCTATCAGCAAGGCAGTTTACATGTTCCAAAACCTGTTTGTAACATATGCTGACATCTTGTTTGACATTAGAGCTTTTTGTTTTAATTCCTTGAGAATAGGAATTATAGATGAATCCTTAATCGTCCCATACAGTGTCTCGTTTGTATCCGGTTTCCAATTTTGTAAACGTGCTCCCCAGTAGTGATTCATTCTAGCTATATCCCCATTAATGTCAATAGATTGTCCCATTCCTTCTATATGGTTATGGTGTATTCCAGCTTCACTGATATTTCTGGCTCGATAGAGAGGTTTATCTAGCTCGTTGGTTCTGTACGGACGCCGACGCTGCAAACGCTCTATAAGCCATGCGAAATCCTTAGGGTAACCCGAAAATATAAAATTAGGGAAAGATATTTCAACACAGTCTGGATATTCAGATGTTACGTTTTTGATGAAACGTTTCAAAAATCCTGGTTTAGTGTCTCCAATAACAAACGGATATTCATCAATATCCACTGCTATGTGCCATTCACAACGATTTTTATAATTGTCTATCGAATGTTGATACGCCGATACTTGCGTTTTAACCATATCAAATGGAGTATTATTGTGCCAGTCGTGATAGAAAACCTCTTTTGGGTCAAACAACTTTCTACACCAATATTCTAGTTTTTCACCAATCTCTTCATACGTGTCATATAAGTAGATTTCATCTACCCCGGCATACTGCATGTAGCGTATCCATTGTTCGACCTCATATGTTGTTAGTTCTGGCTTATCTCCGCGGTATATCCGCACCATCACGACAGCACCAATGCAAAATTTGTCTCCCACTGTTACTTCCTTGTCAACGTCTGTATTAACTGTAACCTTTTTAACTTGCCCGACACGTGTCGTGTCAATCACATGAAATCTCTCTTCCAGTCGCTGAACGCTTACAAACAAAACATATATTATTAATATCCATGCAGACAATGCGTACATTAAAATTTTGCTTTCTTTCCTTAAGAAAACCATGTTCAAACTGTTTGCTTGATTATAAGCATTATCTTAATATGCATGCAGTGCATATTTTCACAGGTATGTTTAAAATAATACGAAAGCCTTTGAAGATAAGATCTATAAAATAAAAAAAATCAGGTATCAAACGAAAAATGAACCGTTGTATATGAGTCAACATAAACCCACAAAATGAGATCCAAATATATGTTTTCCCTTTTTTACCCAAATTGTAACATGCAATGAAGTCAACAACCATGGAAATATACCCAGATTTGAAACTAGGTTTTTAGTTAACTATTCCTTGAGTAATGATTATGAATAAATGCAATAAAAATGCCTTAAACATGACTTAATTGCATTGATTATTGCCATTGGGTATGTCCAGTGAATGTATGTATAAATATTATCATTACTATTATTCCGTAACTTGAAATCAAATGACTTAAACTTCAATCTGCATCAAGCGACGGTAATAGGCCTTTGACAAATGTATACTGCCAGGCCAGCGTGCACTTATTCGCAGTTTGACATTTGTAACATTTTTTTTTTGATTTTGTGATAAGAATCCCTAAAAATAGCAAATAACTAATGTTCAAAATTCAAACCTGGACATACCATTCCACAAATTCAAAGTTTTAATCGTAAACCTTAAAAATGATTATCGTCACATACTATACTAAACAGCAAGATTTGACATTCAAATTTTAGATGTGAAATACAAAATGACAACTCCATTGACATATTATAAAATAAGTCATACTAATTAGGTTCACACGTTCAAGTTGGATTTTTATCCCAGTAGTCTTTTGTCAATTTTGCTTTGATTTCAAGTGGGCTATTTCACTAGTTAGCTTTGTTTTATTGGGATTGGTTTTCTCCCGTGGGCTTTTATTACAAGTGTGTAATTAATGAAATGTACTTTACTTTTATAACAATGAGCCTTATTCCTTCTGGGTATTGGTTGTTGTTGTTTTATTGTGTGTTTTTTGTTGTTTTTGTTGTTGATGTTGTTGTGTTTGTTTTGTCTTTTCGTGATTTCATATATTTTTGTTATCAAGCATTTGCGTTATTTTGTTTTCATTTTGTGAATCTTTTAAAAAGTGTAGTACATCTCTCTATTTCGGATAATTACCATAATAAATGTGATCCCTTGCTTCATTACGCCTTTACCATGGCATAAATTACCGTTGCTCTTCGCGACATGCCTTTTCCTTTACATTATTGCCATATTACAATTGATCCCTTTGTCCTTGACATTTATAATCGCTGCCTTGACCGCATGTGTTTTTCTTTACATTATAACCATATTACATTTGATCAATTTATTAACTACGCATTGTCCTTGACATTAATAACCAGTGCCCTTGACGGTACGCCTTTTCCTTTGAATAAATATAGTACTATTAATTTCATTCCACTATCTCTAGTTTTAGTATTTTATTTCTGGAGGTATAATGACCCTCATCAGCTCTCGTATATTATCAAAACAAGTAAGGATTGATAAAAACATTGATTTGGAGGACATCCTCTTATCTGAAATGCACTTGAAATATTGATAATGCATTTTCATAGTTGCCTATTATCATAACTAGCTACGTTCTACCAAACGTTGTTATCGTTTATTACGTAATCTAGCTATCTGTCCTAATACTCAGATATTGTGTTTACATAAATATTTACACGGATTACACGCACGTACACCTATTGGTTCGTTCGTGCTTGCCTGAAGAAAATGCAAGCCTGAGATCTTCCTCCAGCTGGAAAGTCGCCATATATTTATGATTAGTGTGAGTAAACCTAAATTAAACAAAATAAATACGGTAAATAAAACACCGCGGCATGTATTTTAAAAGAATAACAACGAAACGATTATTTTTCTGTAAATATTTAATATAATGGAACGAATTATCTTTCCGGAAATAAAAAAGAATCGTCTTTCAGAAGTGTTGCCATTTGTTTGTTGTACGGTTTATAGAATTCATACAGCAGATGTTTAGTCTTTGGCAACATGTCATAATGTTTCTTGGATTCGTTGGATACATTTAAATTCAGTATTTCTGACAATTCTCTTGAAGACATTGCACCTGAAACAAAAAGAACAAAACATCTTCCATGAAACTGAGTAAATTTCTTTATCTTTGGGAAGCTTTGTTTTTGATAGAAATTTATGTCTACGAGGAAAATGACGTCATGGCTGGATGGTTAACTGTTCTGTACTTTCTTAGAAACTTTGTCATTATATGAAGTCAAATGCCAGACATAAGTTAATAGACTATGTTGTATGTTATTTGAACATTAGCATTATTATGTATTACAATTATAATTCACAACATTCAAATGAAGTTGCCTAAAAGAGGTTTCCAACTTAAATGTGTTTCTCACAGATATCCTGTGTTTGGACGGGTATTACATCTATATAGATCTAATTTTAAGTTGCATTTGATCCTCACACACAGCACCACTAAAAGCCCGATGCATAATCAAGACATTCTTCGCTAACTTATAGACAAATTAAAACTTCAAACATACAACAAAAAATCATAATTATAGATCTAGATAGAACATATGGTAAAACATAGCTCTGTTAGTATTACAACGAATCAACTTACTCATGTTAAGAAACTTGAACGTTTCTTTTAAAGTTTGTCTCGTTTTTGTAAGATATTGTTCCATATTAATGACAAATAGTTGATCCTCCTTAAATACAGACAGGAGTTCTTCCATGTAAAAGGCATAAAAACCAGCTCGGAAACTTTCAGCCAAATACTGACTCCCCTGAAATATGAAATGAATAAATGTTATTTGTATTAGATCATACTATTGCTTATTTATGGTTAATTTTCAAATACAATATTTTCATATTCATCGGCCAAATCAGTTGAATACGATGGGGTGGAAACTATATATCAAACAAGAATAGTATTGCATTAGTATCACTGGTGATCACGCAAAAAAGAAAACAGGTTTGTATATATAGATAATAAAAATATGTCAATAAGATTAACATATCTAAGGTGAGACAAAATAGTTTCATATGAAATGTGTAAAGTGAATAACAATATTTTCCATTTAAAGGCACAGTATGCAGAAAAGGAGGGTTACATAGTAATTGTTTAAGAGATATAACTGTAGAAAGAGTTGAATGAAATAGTTGGAATTTAAAATTTTCCTTTTACTGAGCTAAATTCATTTCTAAGAGAGCTGACCTTTTTGGCAGATACTGGTAGTCCAGTTTAAGAACGTAGGCCCGTGACACAAAAAGCGGAAACATTTTAATTAGTTAACGAGAAAAAGTAGCAGACAAGTAGGAAAAAAGAAAGAGAATCCACCAAATGTACAGAGTTATTACATTGAATGGTATTAAATTTACATAGGTAAAGAGGGATTAGATGAAAGGTGAAATGCAATGAAAACTAGAAATGAGGCTGATCCTTTGACCCAGAACGTGTCCTTTAAGCCTCGGTCTCACTTACTCCCGGCAGAGCCCAGGATCATCCCGGTTAGTTACCGGGATGATCCAGGACGATCCGGGGTGAAATTAGTGTTGCGGTCACACTTACCCCGGCAGCACTACGGTAGTTCTCAACTAACAACCCAGGATGCACTCCGGATCATCCAGGCAGAGCCCAGGTGCAGCTACGGTTCATGCCGGTGCTTCCCCGGTCGTTCCCGGATGACGCCGGAAGAGCCCCGGTTGACCCAGGCAGAGCCCCGGTCGATCCAGGCAGAGCCCCGGCAGAGCCCAGGACGATCCAGGCAGAGCCCCGGTAGAACCCCGGTGGATTGAAAACGCCCGAAAATGATAACATTGATACATAATTTTTATTTATTATAATATCTATTGTTCCAATTGTAATTCATGATGATTTTCTGAAAAATCCTTATGCCATACTGGATAGAAGGGAAATAGGAGGGGTTTTAAAATACCAGCAAGTGCAATCACCGCAAATTGTCGTTATTTTTGAAAATGATCCGGGCTTTTCCGGGGCTCTACCGGGATCAACCGTAGCTCTACCTTTATCATCCGGGCCTCTGCCTGTAGTTGCCGGGGCTCTGCCGGCATATTCCCGGGGCTCTACCGTAGCTCTACCGACTATATCATACCCGGATCAATCCCCGGTTTGTGCCGGCAGAGCTACGGTGCTTCCCCGGTTTAACCCCGGTCGTTCCCGGCAGAGCTAAGGATGAAGCCGGCAAAGCTATACCTTCCCGGATCATCCCGGACCACCCCGGTGATATTAAATATTTTATTCCAACCGAGATCGAATGCCAGATGTTCCCGGGTCATCCCGGATCATCCAGGACGTTGCCGGCAGAGTTACGGATGTACTCCGGTTGTTCCCGATCGTTCCCGGATCATCCCGGACGTCTACCGGGGCTCTGCCGGGATGTAAGTGAGACTGTAGCTTTATAATTCACGAGAACAGTATCATGGTTAGAGAAACCCCAAGAAAAGTTTCAAATGAGAAAGCACTAGGTCTGGTGTCAAATGCTTTACATTCTTTGGAACCTGGATATGAAAGGAACCTGAATATATGGATATGAAAGGAAACAACATTTTGTACTACCTGTGGAAGTCCTTTTTCAAATTCTTCATCATAAATACAGCGTCTCATCGAGAATTTATCAAAGCATATCGTGTATTCGTCTATCAATGTTTTGGCAACATGATGAAACTTGTTCGCTGCTTCATGTTCATCAATATTATGTTCACTGCTTAGTTTAATCTGATGCATAAAGTCCGAAAATAGTCTGAAAGTTAAAGTCGAACATGTAATATAATTATAATGCTTGTATACTGATTGTTATGAGTACATGTATATAGATTGTGTAGAATTTGAACATTTTGCAACTCGTTTGGTATTTTGACATTTTAGCTGAACATGTACGTGTACGTGTATAATCATAAACACAAATTATTTACACAAATGACATAAAGTGCAAAATGAAAAGACAATAGCAGTGGCATTGTGTTATACTACATTTGTAAATTATTATGCCATCAATTTTAAGGGTCTTTTTTTCTTTCCCTTTTTTTTCTTCTGTTTTTCTTTCACGATTTTCACTGACATGACTTCATGTAGCTAGAACATAGATCATTGCGGATTATAATTTGATATTAAATTTTGTTAAGCAAGAATCCCTTGCATGGTTCTCCTTAGCAAAAAAAAAAAAACATTTCTAACAAAAGTACTCAAAATAAGAGATAACAAACAACCATTACAGCAAGTTATGTGTCATAAATGCTTGTCTATTTATAAAAACCAAAAGACAATTTTTTTTTTAATTTACAACCCGCGTAGTTAACCGTCTGAAAGCCGAATGAAGTTTCTTTCTTTCTATTCGATCAATTTACTATTTCGACTTATTTTAATGTGACTGATTCTGTTCATAAAAGCAGAGACATAGATTACATAGTTATCTATGTCTCTGATAAAAGCTAATTAAATGTGAACTATCTTTTCACCCCACCCCCTAGCACCGGGTTAAAACAGCAGAGACACTTACCTTGACACTGGATTACTAAAAATAATGATAATCTTTACATCAGGCGTCAAATGTTTGATATAATGGAAATTGGTATACAGTAACGTGGTTCCGTTAATCCTTCGTTGCCGGGCATCAGCTTCCAGCCTGTGTGCATATGAAGATTTGCTGGCGTGGCTTCCGCTTTGAAATAAATAAATAAAGGGTATAAATGAGCCGCGTCACGACTAAACCAACATAATGGGTTTGCGACCAGCATGGATCCAGACCAGCCTGCGCATCCGCGCAGTCTGATCAGGATCCATGTTGTTCGCTTACAAACCCTTTAACAAGTAGAGATCAACAGTAAAAGTATATTGGTTCCATTTCTATGTGGTTGATTCCCGAAATAGAAGTAACATTTAATGTCTCTGTTATTTAACACATGAATAATGTACGTTAAAAGAATAAAATGTTCCGGAACAAAATATTACTTTGCTATTTTAAGAAGAGTTTTATCCAATTAGCTGCACAGCTTGCTTTAAGGCTATTTATTGCCATTTTTATTTCATAAATGCATTTTGGAAGTATTCTCTTTTTAAATCCGAACAATAATTAATTTTATCACATATATAGCTTTATACACCTTAAGAGTTAAAAGTTTAACAATATTATAATAATATGTGTAAAGGTGTATAATGTCCTTCCTTTAAACTTAGTCTCAATACAGAGAAAGTTTAAGAAAAGAAACGTGTAAATCTTATACTCGCCACTAAAAATCATACGACTGACTCACGCCATTAGACTTTGAAATTGAGTATTTATTTATAATCATGAAAAAAAGAATGTACTGATGTAGGCGATTTTCGAATTTTGAAAGATTATTTTTTAAATAAAACTCGGATAAACATTTTCATTATAGGCGAAATATTTTAGGTTTCATGAGGATCCATCCGCCCTTTCAGGCACTGAGAGAACGATCCGACCGAACGAAGTCTGTTTAATGGTTCAATAACTGATCAGGGGAGGTAACTACCAATTTTTATTTTATGCTTTTCAGTGGATTACTGATTTATCCGTGAAAATTATATTTGATAATTTCACAGTGAAAATTATCAAAATATAATTTCACACTTTTCAATGACGAAACTACTTTTTTAAGATTTTCTCCATGTGGTACCTCAATTTTATTTTTTCTGACTATTCCGACAATGTCAGGCTGTTTAAAGAAAAGCAAAAGTGGAATTGATAAATAACTTATATGTCAAAAGTAATAAAAAGAAGAAAACTTACAGTATGTTACTTCTATTCATTCAAAATACCAATCACCAAATATCGTCTCTTTAATTTTTTGTTTCATTTTTACAGTCTGAAAAAATCATTCCTTCCACGTGCAAAACTGCTCTTGATGACATTTGGGAATATTTAAGTATCCTACGAGCAATAACTGCCGTATGCTTTATGAAAACTTGAAAAGCAATGGCAGCTTTCAGTCGTAGAATATGTAAAAAAAACCAGCGTTCGTAAGGCTTCCAAAGTTTCCAATTTCCTATCCACTTTTTTTAATGTTTACACATCTGTCAACACTTATTTATTGTCTGTTACAATCCTCAAATAAGTTTTCTTTCTTTTAAAAAGGTGTATGACTAAGAAATCCAAATGATATCCCTCTGAATCAAACACAATTATTTTCCTCCAGTGAAATACACAACTTTAAAAATGGCGGCCGCTTACATTTAACAAAGCAAGGTCTAATATAAATTCGCAGTCAGTAACAGAAATATGGATGGATGGTTGGACTTTTTCTCCAACTAGATTTGTTTGTTTTTATTATTTAAACAAGCGATCAGACATATGTTTTTAATCAAATGAATACTATCACCACCATTCAACGTTGATTGTGGAACTTATTTTTCAGCCCATGACTTCTTGTATTTAATGAGAAATTCGACTTTTTTGAGGCTCTCGATGGGGAAAACAGATTTTAATATTAACGTAAATATTAAGGAAATTTCGTTTTAACTTGTTTTTAAGCATAAAAAAAAAAGAAAATTTGTTTGTTTGTTGTGTAAGATGTAATTTTATTTCATCTCGTGAACTTTAAAAATAGTATTCTCACTCGTGGCTACGCCACTCGTGAGAATACTGTTTTTAAAGCCCACTCGTGAACTTTAAAAATAGTATTCTCACTCGTGGCTACGCCACTCGTGAGAATACTGTTTTTAAAGCCCACTCGATGAAATAAAATTTCATCTTACACACAAACAAACAAATATCCTCTATATATTCTGCACCGACAGATGAGCTGTGCGCTTTTGAAAAGTGTAGTGCGACACGCGCAAAACTGACTTATAGCATCTTGTACTGTATGAAACACAAAAAAATAATGTTTTACTTGTTGTTGTTGTTGTTCTTGCTGATGTTGTTAGTTGTTGTTTTTATTTTGTTGTTGTTTTTTTCACGCTATAGTCTATATTAACATTTTCGCAATTTATTTATCTATTTAATTATTTATTTATCTATTTATCTATTTATTTATTTATCAATTTATAAAACAATTTCATTAAGAATATGATTATATGCCAGAGAAAACCGCGAGCAGCATGCGCAAAAATCGCAGAAAGAGGAAACGAACGTCGCATAGGAACTTACCAGTTATACATTTATTAAGTGGTGATCCTCCGTCTCGTGCAATTCTGAATGCCGTCTGCTGCGC